CCATACACCCCATAAGTGCTGCACAGAAATTCACCATAGCAGAGTATTCAGATAGATTATTGCCTTTCTTAATGTACTAATGCAGAACATACAAATACCAGAGGGATCTAGTCTCTAAGACAGCATCTTCTTCTAATTCTAAGTCATCATACCCCCTTTTTCTTTGTGGTAAGGAGGTATGGTAAGCTCTTTCTGAATATTTCATCAATGTCACTGCATTAGTAGTCAATAATGGATGCTAAACCAACAATATATTTACATGCCTGCTGTTAGAGAGGAACTGAATATATGGCTTCTCAACAGGCCTCCTAGTCTGAGAAATCCCCTTAATCTGTTCTTAAAATCAGGATTCTAGATTTCATGCTGCCTCTACACACTGCAAATCCATTTTAATAATCAATGGCAATTCTGAAATTTGCACAACCACCCAGAAAAACGTGACTGTCAGCTTGCTGTAGTCGCTCAGCACTCTATTTCACTTCTTGTAAATATTTGTCTCGTTATATGAGCCTGCTTTACTCGGAAGAAAGTAAAATATGAATCAGATAAGACAAACATATTGAAAAAATTACAAGTTAACCTCATAAGCTCACTCTATAACATCATCTCAAATAGGTTACTACTCTGAGGATTTTTATAGATCACCATAAAAGTCATTTTCATGTAAGACTAGACTTGGTTCTGTTAAAAAAGATTGATAAAAAAAGTAATACAATACACCCAGGAAAAATGTTTACAGTATTATCTTTAAACATAAAATACATTTCTATTCTATTTAGTGTATCTTTTCCTATGGGCATCTTCCTGTTTCTGGAGAAGGGTAGCATAATTAGACAGACACTTCAGGTCTATACAGAATAATTCCAGTCTAATTAAAATATCTGTCATCAGAGCACATTAAGGTCCCATGACTTTTGCTATCTAATAATAATCATACACAAAAAATCCACTACAGGCAGTCCCCGGGTTACGTACAAGATAGGGACTGTAGGATAGTTCTTAAGCTGAATCTGTATGTAAGTCGGAACTGGCGTCCAGATTCAGCCGCTGCTGAAACTGACCGCCAGTTCTGACTTA